GAAAATAGATGAACGGTGTTGTATTGACAAGCTAGAGCTGCCTGAAGCTCACTGAAGTGGTTATTCAGCGATCGTGCATTCCACTGCATTACGGATGGCAATGAGGGCTGTACATGTAGACGATCACGAATGCAAATGTTAACCAAGCCCATCCTGTCATTTCTTTTACGATGACAAGAAGGTTTCTGTGGTCGACATGTCACTCTAACAGGAATACGGTCAGTCTGAAAGGTGGTCTTTTATGACGACGACCTGATTTTGAACCTCTACAACGTAAAATTCCACTATTCTTTAAATTTAACAGAACTGTCTGCTGGACCCAGATGTTTGGAGCTGCGAATTGCCAACATCTGATTACGGGTATACCGATACACAGTGGTTGTAGCACATTGTGATGAAGTCATACTCTGTCTATCAACGCGTGTCTACAACGTACGTCACCCCGCCCCGGTACCGTGTGGATTGTTGCACCACAATATGGCTTCGTCTCAGCGATTGCAAGAACGACATGACATTGTCACCGTGCAAAGAAGCGCTAGAAGGATGTACATGTGCGTAGTTTTATCTGACCCTAGATCGTCTTCCTTATCAGTGCAATAACCAATGGAAGGAGAGAGAAGGTTGGTATGAGACCAATGACGATGAACGCCAAATCATAGCTACCTCTCATGTCGTATATCCACCCTATCGAATAAAAATAGGAGACAAACATCATTCATTTTAATATTGATCCCTCCGTATGGCATAATTTCAAACCATATCTGAGGTGACAAGAAGAGTAGGTAAATATATTAACCGTATTAGAGGTATACCATGACCACTTAAACTACAAACCCCCCTCACATCTCCATTTGTACGGATGCTAAAATTTGTTGACAATTTAAAATTGTACTAACCAGGTACAAAACCCGCGATGAGACGGCCAAAGAAGAAGGCCCGCATCCATCCGAACGCGGCGACAAGTCGGTCATTGTCAACGATTTCCTTAGTTATGACATCAGTGAGAGTGTATAGTGCTGAAGAAAACAAACCACAGACAAAGGCGGTGATCGCATAACCGATGACGTCGTGCACCCAAGGATCAACTACGAAAGAGAGAGTTAGAACAAGACTGGTGATGATGATCGCTGTCGACGACTTGATGAGACCCCTGTCAATGAAAGGGGACCAGATCAGCGTCCCAAACGAAAAGCCAACAGCAGCTGCTATGCAGAGTGAAGCGGCTACTTGGGGGTTGAAACCTTTAGCTTGCAGATGAGGAACGAAATACAGCAGCCAAGATATGAAGGAAGTTGTTACTCCGAAACGGCACATCAAGACGATCCAGAAATTAAACTCCAGGAATATGCCCAAGTCCAGTGCTCTGTAGATAAGAGAGCATAACTCCTTGAACGAGACGGGGGCACTGCTTTTACGTCTTTTTTCCGCTTCCTTGATCTCCGTGTCAAAGTTGTGAAGAGAGTCATTCCGGTTGTCTGCATCTGCGAGAGACTTGTACTGTGGATTGACGGCCTTGACTAAGACGGCAGTCGGTATTTGATGCATGCTGAATCCAGCAATAAGCAGCGTTGCTCCCCTCCAGCCATAGGTGTCGAGGAAAAGTTGCGTCATTGGTGCAAAAACGAGAAAGGCCAGTGCTTGTCCGGCATGGCCTATCCCGCAAGCCGTAGCATACTGCTCTCTGAAATGACGTCCAATGAGAACTTTAGCCAGGACTGAATAAATCCCTAGAGCGGGTCCTGTAAAATATATGACAGAACAGGGTTTTCAACTGTTTTGGTTTTGGAAGTCGATGAAACAAAGAATGATGACATTTCCGACATTTCTGCAGAAGTCGAACGGCGTTCTTGGAAAGAATTAAACTGTTCGTATATGTCATATTACATCATCACCTTTAAAGCTCCATCGCTCGAATTTACAATAGAATGTCGGGTTTTGCGTGTAAGACCGTTTACCTACCAAAATGGCAAAAACAGCAGGTTCTTGGAAAGAAAAAAGATTGAAGTGGAAAACACTCTGTGAAGTTTTAGTGGGTCAAATCCGAAAAATTCACCAAGGATTCTGGATGGACTAATCAAAATGTATTTAATGAGTATGACCAAGCAACGACGAGTTACTCACCAGCCAGAACGGCTAAAGACAGGGCGACGTGAATGGGGTTTGACGCGAAGGGAAGCAAAAATAAACCCAGGCATCCTATCACGCCGCTGGAGATCAACACAAGGCGACAACCAAATAGCTTTTCCAGAGGCAAAGTGAAGAGACCTGGAGGAGAAAAACAAAGAACAAGAGCATCTCGGTCATTTTAGTTACACGAGATAGATGATTGCGCAACATATCCAGTGTCGGTTTGACGACGTCACGGCATTTTGACGATTATGAATTCGACTATTATGGAATGTGACTTCAGAAAAGTATATCCGTTTAGGCATCAAGGTAGAAATCATTTGCCAGGTTTCATATTTACACCATATGCCATGCATCATAACATTTATTTACTTTTTCTCATTTACAATTTGTTCTGCTTTTGCCTTCCAGTGACACCTGGAGGAAGATGGACACAATTTTGGTTTGGAGACCCAAATTTAGCCCCACTCAAACAGCGTTTCCGCATGAGCTGAACCAAAGTCAAGGTACTTTGAAACCTGAGGGGATAGGCCTACATCAGGGTTATATATGCACACTTTGGGATCACGAATGATGTTCGAGTTAGGGTAAACTTTAAACGTGATACTTTTGTTCAGTCGTGAAGATTAGTGAAGGAGCATCAATGTCTGGGAAAGGACTTATAAGGAGGAGATTCGAAAGATTTCACACTAAAACCAAATCAATCTTCTGAAAACCTGGCTTCGTTGTGACCACAGAAATGCACTCTATTTAATTTGATCATTGGTGTTAAATGGACAAGCTTATCTGTTCGCCGGCGAATCTTCTGTCTATCCCCAACTGCATCCCTCGGCGGACACACATTGGTAAGTCCTACCGTATCATCCCCCTAGCCTATAGTGTACGCCTACCGTTTAATTCAGTCTACACTCGCGATGAGGCTTTGTTCCAGCCAGTCGTAATTTGGTACAATTTGGTACCTAATTTGACACGAACGAATGAAGCCAATGTCTCATCCGCTGTATGATAGTAATTTTCTGCGCTGATCATGAGAAGCTGACTTGTGCATAGTGGTGACCTACGCATTTCATGTAGGCCTACGTACTGAACTACCCTTAATACCTTGTTGAAGACTGTCTCTACTCACTGAGTGACTTTGTAGCTAAGCTTGACGTTACAAATGTGAGTCACGCAGAATCCAAGAAACAATATAACTACGGCAAGGCAGCCAGTTTTCCAGGCTATGTTTGAGTCTTCTTACCTACAATATCCGACGTAACTGCGACTAGCGACGTCACTATACCAATAATCCATGTTTGTGTCGTGAATTGGTCCCGTAGAACTGGAAGAAGAACTCCCAAACTTTTGACTACACACCCCCACACGAGATTGGTAGTAAATGCCAAGAGGACTATAAAGCATCCATTACGGTTAAATTCCATTGCACTGTGAAAACTTAAAACATGGCGGGCTATATGTCTCTCATGAAGTTGGTGAGCCGTGTTGCGTGGCTCTCACTGGGCTCTGACATTGTGCTTCATTTACGCTGCTTCCTGTGTGTAACCTCATCCAAGTTATACACAAGACGATAGAGAATCGCCTTGTGACCTGGACCAGTTTCTGTCAGTGGCTTGGTCCTGATAAGTAGAACTTAGTTTTTCTTTTGGAGTCTCACTGTTTTCTACCCAGAGTTTTCAGCTTCATTCCACATTCCCTATGGAGGTAGGAAGGTTGAGCGCACCCATTCACACCCTGATGCATCGTTGCAGATCATGGGTATCTTTGTCTATCAGTACCACTATATCTGGAGAGGTATAAACGTTGTGTGTACTGCATATAAGCACTCCACCAAGGCATGGCGGAAGGACAGAGGAGTTACAACTCTGGCACACCAAAGTTTAATGATATCATCGCCGCCCGGTCGGTAGTCTTGGTCCAAGACGTCAGTGATTGATAGTTGTTTTATTTCTGTTGAAGAGCGCCCTTGCACACCTAGATTTTACTTACTCTCACTAACGTCTTGGGAATCTTGCAGGAATGGGGGTGTGGCAGTTGTATGCAAATGTCCGATCTTCTTGAATATTTTAGCCTTAGTATTATAAATATGTACATGTACATGTACTTCGAAGTTCGAACAACCGTGGCGGCTTCACGCGAGCAAGTACGGTTTGTGGTTTGTGGGAAGGGATAAGTGACGTGTAAGACAATTTTTTTCACTTCGTACTAGACATGAAATTGCCACTCTTCTAAAAGATATGGTTGGGGACTACAGTTGTGCTGCATCGTATCACGTTTGCGATGTTTGTGGCAGAAAAATTGGGAAAACAAAATCGTTGTCTGATATCACACAATAAATACGTTCTCGTTTTTTGCAACTCACAATGAGCACGTTGCCTGAGGCCAAATTACTCACACAAGCGGCAATAAACCTAAACGTGCAGCAAGAAAACGATAACCAACTTGCAGTCCGGGTACTCCGTCCTCGAAGGTTAAGGTCTATATGGTCTCTAAGGACTGAGTGACTGTACTGACTGTACATGATTATGGGTCACCAAGAACAGCATCCTCTGTCATATCCTAGGCCTAACCTACTCTGAGTATCACCCGTTCTACTCCGTGCTAACTCTGTACGAACGTCTGTGTTGTCGTGTCTGTGTTAACGGGACTGCAGACAGCCATGATGCATGGGACCTTACTGTATTATTCAGGTCATCGAAATTTACTATGCATGCTATTTAGCGAGTGCTGATTGGTTCCCTTGGAACGCCGAGGGGAAAATAAAGAACAAGTTAAAACGGTGCTGCAGGGTGCACCACTACAAATAAATTCCCATAGACAGCAGTGATAAATCCCCATACT